GTCCCGGCAGCCCTTCGTTGTTGTTTTGGTTTCGGTGTCAAATTTTAAATACGCTAGCACATAAATTCTCCGACCATTCCCACTTCTCCGCCTCGATCATTTGTTGCTCACCGATGGGCGGTCAATCAGCGCTGACGTGGTTTAGAACGTGGCGAGCGGCGCCGCGGCACCGGCAAGAACAGTCCCCTTACGTCGGCGGAAACTTACCCACGTCTCTCGTTCCGATGCGCCGCAAAGTACTTCATTTAAAACCGCGTACCTGAAAACAGGAAAAGGAAATAATTGAGTTTGGAGGTGTGAACAACAACGTAGTCTACTCTCCTTGATGCTATTACTGATCACCAAATCCACTGCCCCCATCCACAAACCAAAAAAAAAAAAAATGTAGGGAAAAATAACGTCCCCGGACGGTAGCAAAAAAAACAACAACAACAACTTCTTTCTCCAGGCTCCCGCTCGACGGGTGCTGGTGTCTGGACGCCCGCAACAGTTCAGGCCGATGGGAATGCTGCTGAAACGTAGGACCTCGCGTCGTGCCGGTGAGAAGGGGCGGGGAAATCCACAAAGAGTGCTCCGCCCTCCATTTCTCTGAAGTTGCCGTGCTGCGCATATGAGTGTAGCAGGATCTCGTGGTATTAACGCAAAAGTCACGCTGTATTTTTCCGTAATTACGCTTCTCCCTGCCAAATCTAACCAAGGACATTTTAGCCGTATTCCCGCATTAATTTCAGGGTATTCCTGCGACAAAGTGGCAACTGTAACGTAGGCTGTACTGTACGTTCTTTCCTGGAACAAGTTGCCGTGAGCAGCGTACGCAACACATTGCAACCCTTCACTTATGCGCCGTTAAATAGATGTTGGTATGGACTCTTGATCAAAGCTGTAAGTTTCAGTTTTACGTTGGTAGCATGATAAAAGTAACATTATATCAAATAAATACTCAAAAGCCCACTTGTATATTCATGGTTCAGTAATATGCTGGACTCTGGAACGCCGAACATGACCCACAGTTACGTCGCAGAGGACCGACCTTGTTATGTCCAAATAAATGGCGCGTTTCGTTCCGATGCGCCACAAAGTATTTGTTTTACTACCCCCAAACGAGTAAGCGTTAACTCTAGGAATAAAATCCAAAGGCTAAAAAACACTTTCAATCCATATTTTGATACTTCCTGACAAATTATAAAAAGTGGCGAACTCGGGGTACACCCTTGGAACTACCGCCCTAGTTACGTCGCAAAGTAGAAGGTTGACCCTTGACCTCAACGTTCGATCAATCACCATGGTAACACGTATGTAAAAAGTCTAACAAAAACTCTTTCGACATGGCCATATATCATCAAGAGGTTCATGGAATTTTCCTTTGAAATGTGTGATTTATGTTAAAAAGTGGCGAACTCGGGGCCCCCTCCGTTATTGATTTTAAATTTCTAAATGTATATCTATTGAGATGATATACACATGTATGTATGTTCAAGATACATCCTCTTGTATATGCGTATTATTATACTCAATAGTAATGATGTGCAGACAGCATTTGTGGTGCCACAAATATTGCCTTTAATATGAATATAACAAACAAACAAACAAACAAACCGGCAGATAGCAAACTTAATTTGCATGCCTGATAGCTAATATTAAAGGAACACACAAATATGATAACTTAAAAAAAAGGTAATAAATGTGTAGTCTTTAACGTCTATCAGATGTTTCTACACAGTACATTACTGGGAGGGTTTTATAATTATGGATATGAAATGAAAGTACAGATACATGTAAATGTCGACAGACCTATATTTTCCCTGCACTAACCTGCATATGAACCCAGTATTTCGAGCCTGCATATGTCACTATGACTTTGAGACAGGCCTTCGAAACACAAACACTAAATTTTAGATCCTGGTCATACCTGGTACTAGTTGCGACTGTTGCGCCATAAACATATGCATAATGCATGTTTTGTGATGTCTATCATTTAACGTAGCACATTTTGCTAAACCGAATCCTTTTAATAGTGCCAACAGAGCATGTATACCAATTGTGCATCACCAACTTTTATGACGGTCATTCAAGAAAATAAAGCAAATTGCATACAGTGTGGTACACTGAATGGCCATTTTGTTTTACAAGCATGAGCAGCACTAAGTAATAGGTAGTATCAACTAGGTTCTATACCTGTAAAATTTTGAGATCAGAATATACTGTAGATGTAAGCAGGTTGAAATTTTTGGACTTTAAAGTTTAAAGACTTTTTTAGGTCCAATATTATGATACATGTTGTTGGGATCAGAAAAGAAATATTCAGTTGGGCTTCAAATCTTTTCCAGAAAAGCTATTACTATTGTTAATCAAAGATATAAAAACACACACAATCATGTATTGTGGTCTCAATTCCTCTGCATATTTCATCTGTAAGCATTAATTTTTAATACAAATAGATTAAGAGTGAATATACAGGTTTTATAACTGAAGTATTCCCCATATAGCAGCATCAAGCAGTCATTTAGACCTAATCAGTTTAATCATGTTAATGGTGTTTGTTTACAAATCAAACATAGCCCCACCCACTTGTTTACTCTGACCACAAAAGGACCCAACAACAATGCCTATATTGTTATCACAGGATATTTGCTATCCTAGCTTTTGTACATGTACAGTATGTACACAAATATGTACATGTCTAGAATTTTGAAACCACAGTTTTTTTGTGGTCTAGATAAGTACTAGTAGTTTTAAAGTGTAGATGGAAAATGTAAGTGAATAAATTTCTGTTATGTTGCATTTTATGCTATAGATAAATTCAACTTCATTCTAGAAGGTATTATATATGTACTAAATAACGCTTACTCTTTACAAATAGGTAAGTATATCAAAGAATGGTTAGAGTTAGACCATAGAACATGTAGTATATGTTAATTCATCCATAGTCTTTTGTACCTACGTGTCTGTATGTTATAGACCTTGTGAAAGTTGCTGTACTTTTGTTGTGTCAATAAAGATAACATAATTTCCCCTTAATTTAAACTTTTCTGTGGGAACCGCACACATGGCGAATGCTATTTCTAGCTGTACCATATGTTAACTGTATCAAGGGTGGAACAAAATAAACATTCCGTCATCTATTTGTAGGGAGAAGGCTAAAGGTGTGATTACCAATGCACGGGAAGTCTGGAAAAAATGCACCTGTTTTAACTTCTAGATGTTTTTAGCCCAAAGGGATACTGTAAGTCACTTTGTTTGGGGTAGCAAAAGTTTGTAGTCTGAGAAAAAATGGACATGTTTGCGGCATTACAGTATACGTTTACGGTGGCGGCAGGTGCAGCA